TAAATACTCTTCAAAGGCTCAGACATCTTGAGAACACACTGTCTGATCTTAATGCTGAAGATTTTGTTTCTTTGCCATTTACTAGGTAACATAATTGCTGCTTTGTTGGGTCAATACCTGCTTCCCATTTTTTTGCTATAATTCTCTATGCTCTTCCCAAACGAGAGAGAGTAGCAATTCATGTTGCAGCTCTTTGCTGAGAACTTGGGAGTCCGCAGCTCTTTTGCATGCTGTCACTACACAGTTTTTACAGTTGTTTTGGGGGCTGGGGAATACCAGACTCTCACTGCCAGAAAGTCTTTTGTAACTCAATGGAAGCTAACCTCTCCTGGTCCAACAGCTGTAGAAGTAGTCTTACATATGTCTAGATGTAACTGGATTGTTTAAACCATAGGTGTAAGGGAGGCAACTTGCAGAAGCAAGGCTCCTACTGTTCCTGCAAAATCATCTGGATTTTCTATTAATTTTAAATGGTGGTTTTGGAGAATTTTGAATTTTCAAACCTTGCCTGCGAAGGCATTTCTTTATCACTAAATTATATATATAATGGTTACAGTTCATGCCTGTGTAGAATCTGTGACAAGCGTGCAAATGCTGTCAGTTTATTATTGCAGTTGCTCTGGTCAAAGCTTTTGCTATTACCCCAGAATGGTTGAGGTTGGAAGGAACCTCTGGAGGTCATCTGGTCCAACCCCCCTGCTCAAGGAGGGCCACCTAGCAGATTCCCATAGTCTTTCATGGAGGCTTTGCTGCAGTTGAAATAAAGTGAAGGTGTTTGGGATAGAGTATCAGATTCCAGGAACATTAATGAAAACTGCAAAGTTGAAAGCAAGATTTTTCTAAGAAGATTAGATTTTGTATTTGTATCCTGTGAATTCTGGTTCCTTTATTTACTATTTCAAGCAAAGCGTAAGTGAGATATCTAATTTATTGGGACCTACAATCATATTTCTAGAAATAAATTTGCATAATCAGAAAAAAAATATACCTTGCATCTCAGTAGTATTTTTAGGTGTCACAGTTAATTTGACCCTGGTAACTCATGAGAATGCAGTCAAGTTGACAGCAGATTTCTGTTTCAGACACTTCTTTGCCAGGGATGGGAACATTTATTTTCTGATATTCTAGATCATTCTTGTTTTGTATATGTGAGAGTTTTGATTTTCAGATTGATTAAATTGTTTTAAGTACTTTGATTCACCTTAACAACCTTTCTGAAAGTAGTATTTCATTTAAAAATGGAAGTTAGTAGAATTTTATAAAATGAGTAGTAATGAGTTTACTACACAGTATTATAGTACTAACTAGGAATCTGAGAGTTTGCCACATATTGACTGGTTTTTGACTGTCATTATACGCTTTGCATTTCAATCTGAGTAAACTTTTGTAATGAGATTAAAAACTCATCTTGTTGGTCAGAAAAGATGTTTCCAGACTGATTTATTTCTCTCTCATGCTTTGAATGGAGTTGAGATTAATTGACCTGTGTAATAGATGGTAGTGGCACAAACAGGTGCTGCCATGGTTGTAACTGATGCAAAACGGTGTGGGATCAGAGCTGGATAATGAATATATCAGTAGGCTGAAATTACCATTTAGACTTTGCTCCTGTATGTAAGAATAAGGTTACATCAACAAGCAAGGCAAACTAGATTATTTTGTCTTTATGATTCCTGCTGCAAAAGAAGAATTATATTACCATTTCATAATCTTTTCTCCCTCTGTGTTAGAAAGGGCTTATTCTATGTAAAGAGATGGTGGTAGGACATTGGTGCTGAAACATGCCAAGTCATTATCGCCTTCCCCATGGAGATGTTGAAAATTCGGTTACAGGATGCTAAAGGAGTGGGCAACTGAATATTTATTCGTCATCCTCACAGAGTACGTGTTTGGTTCAAGTATGTATTTTTAAATATTAATTATTTGATACTTCTGCTAAAAATTTACTCTTACACTTTAATGCAAAACTTTAAAGCTCTAAGTGTTGTGGCAGGTGACATTGTTTCAGGTTGTGCCTTTGATTCTTGAGGGCTATAGTCAATGTAGGTCATTTTTGATACATAGCACATGGGTCCGGGAAGGCGGGGGGGAGGGCAGAGAGAATTCTTGCAATGAGAAAGGGTGGAAAGTGGGTTATTGATGTCTTCAGTGCTAGTACTTCACCTTTGTGAGGTACGGGTTAGTAACTGCTACTTTTCATCAGAAACTGCATGAGTGAATGGAGATACTGTTATGCATGGTGGCAAAAACATCAAATATTCCACCGTCAGCTTTAGTGAGGGATGAGGAAGTGCAAGAACCGTATTTTCAGGAGAAAACTTAAGGAAACAGGTTACTTTCTGCTTCATTTCAGCATCACAGTACCTTGTGAGTAAAGTCTGCTGTTCAGTACCTGGTGGAAAGTTTGTAAATACCACCCCACTGCTAACTAAAGTGTGTAATGTCAAACCTGATGTGCTGAGAAGAAGAATGGCACACTCCTAGCAACTGGGTTCATGCACACAGAGGCCATTAAAAGACTTCACAAGTCATAGGGCCATCTTGCCAAGATAGGACATTTCTTACTTTCTTTTTAATACTTTTCATATTAGCTATGGAATGCTATGTAAATTTAACATGTGCTTCTCTTAGGACTGTTCCTTTTTCTGTCATCTCTCTCTTATTTGCACACTGAACAGTATAGGAGACTATAAAAATTAAAAAAAAAAAAAAAAGAAGAAACAAAAAAAGCCCTGCCCTATTGATTTTTCTTAACTGGTTATGTAGTTGTCTCTGGATGCTGTTAACAGTAGCCCCTAAAATGAACTCTTCACAATAGTTCCCTGCTTGACTCTGGGCTTAACTATGGAATGGCACCTCGTGCTGGTCCATAAAAAGCAATTGAGGGAAACTCTTGGGAAGGCAGATAAAACAGTTTTAAGGTCTAACTGGCACTTGCTAGCACTATGAGGCTTTTCCCAAGAAGAAATACTGATGATTTCTGTAACACACAGCCTTTTAAAAGGTCAAAGAATATATAGTAGATGTATGCAACAGGTCTCCCACGCAAACAAAACTGGAACTTTATGTTAATATCAACAAAAGCAGGAGTATGTTAGTAGGTGTGTCATTGATTTTTGCTTTCTTCTGATTTTGCTGGAAGCAAAAATAAACAGAACGACAGAAAAATAAAAGATCTATGCCAACAGCTGGATGTACAGTGGCTCTGAAGGTTATCAGCAGGTTAATTGTCCATGGGCACAGTGGCAATCTTTGAGTATAGTTGGCGGTTCAAGTTGGGCATAACAAGTTGGCCTTCATCTTCCTGCCTCAAGCAGTTGTGTGGGTCTGTTACTTGCCAAAACTATAAGCAAATCTCTGCCTGAACACCTGAAAGAGCATGAATGCCGCTCTGCTAATGTGAACCTTTGGATAAATCTGTTCCACTTCATATTCCATTCATATTCCACTTTAAAAGTGAAAATTGTTTTTCGTAAAAGCACATTTGCAATCACAGAACAGCGAAGAGCTGTAGTGAAGTAACCCACTTTACAAGGCTAAACACAGGGCTGGGAAGGAGTGAAAGAAGACAAAGCTTTTGGTAGTGATTTGACATATTAGTGGCATATATTATCTGAAAATTGTATTTAGTAGGGCTTTGAATCTTCAGTGTATCTACACAGAGCTGCAAATTCTTAGCTCTGAAAGAGTTTTGCCTTTTTTATGTTACATATTGTTAAAAATCTTTTTACTACCATTTAACTTATTTATACACTGAGATTATTTTTTTCCCTGGCAGCATTTGTCAAGACATGCAGAATGGTAGTGCTGTTCCTCAATCAAGGAAGCATGGAGGATTTTATTTTTTGTCAGCTATGTTCATGCCTTCATTGTAGTCTTGCTGTCTTGTCTACAGTACTCCTGCATCAGCAGAGGTCACATTTATTTGAGCAGGGTCAGTTTAATCAAACTGTGATTTCACCACTACTGTTGTAGGTAGCAGAGATGAGGGACAAAGTTGCAATTCTGTCACTGGATTCTGTAAGCTCTGCTACTTTGTTTTCGAATCACTTAAACCAGGTGGAAACTAGCTCTCATCCTCAGGGATTGGTCTGGTGCAATCATAGCTTGCCACAGAGTCATCAGGTCTAATGAAACAGTAGCACTCACGGGGGAAAGCGAGGGGGGGAATCTCAGTGAAAAGGAAACATTTGTTAGTTTACGTTTATTTCCTTATTCCTGGGTCTGTGCTTCTCACCTGTGCATGTTCAGCACATAGGTTGGGGCTCGGCTCACTTTTCCACTCACAAGGGACCAGCTGACCTGTGTGGGGAAAAAGAGGTTTTTTCTGAGTTTCACTTTAAGTTTGATGGTATTACACTCCCCTTCTGGAGAACAGAGTAGCAAGACTTGAAGCTTCACTGATTCTTCAGTGCTCACAGAGAAAGAAGTTTTTCAAACAATGTACTTCAACAGAAAAGAGAGGCTTACTCCACTAGTGCAGACATGAAAAAGTATGCCTAATGAACACAGGTCTGGACAACAGTGGTGATGACAGATCTACAGAGTAGATAAGCAAACTGTATGGGCTTGGTCTCTGTTGACTACGCTGAAGCTAGGGTCCTCAAAAAATCTAATATTACATATATGGAAAAATACTATTGCTAATATGAAGGCTGTAAGTATATGTCAAAATCTAATTAAAATGTTCAATACTAAGAGTCTGCATTGCCTTTTTTAACACTGACATATGTCAGATGTTTTGTCTCTGAGCATCTCTTCACAAAATACCTGGGATTTATGAGCAAAGGCTTATACATACACATAGTCATTTCTCGTTCTTCCCCAAAGTAGATTGCAGGTGGGTTCCAAAATACAAACTTGCGGTCCTATGATTGTGCTTTTGTGCATGTCACAGAATATGCAGTTAATTGAAGTAAACAGTGATATGTCTTTAGAATAAAACTTTGTGCACACCAATTTGCAAACCTGTTATGAAATACACTTTTATTTATATTTCATTATGAGCACAGAAGTACATTTTGACCACATTCTGCTGGAATCTTACATGTTACAGAGCTTCTGTGGCTTAGTGCAATAGTTTGTCCTAACCTTCTCATGAACACAGTCGCTATAATCAGTGTTACATTTACCACACTTGCAGCTCACAGCCACAGGGTAGGAATAATAAGGGATGGTGTGATGAGGACAGCCCGGAATCAGTGCTGTTTGATACAACATCTCTTTATATGTGCACACGTTCTGGGACAGAGCACTTTTGAGTAGCAGCTTCTTGCCATTGCTGTCCTACAAAGAAAAAAGAAGTGCATTGTTTCACTGAAGCATACATGAGTGTCAGATGACTTCCTCTGAGGTTTTCTTAAACATACAGAAAGCAAACCTCTTTACGCCTAGACTGGCTCTGGTATTTTCAGTGTACTTCTGTTCCAAACTGTAATTTTGAATCTGCATGTGATTGTGGCTCTCTACCCCTGTAGATATGTTCATCTTGCTTTTATGGTTTTAACTAATCTGTGTGGCTGATAGCGCTAACAGTGCTTTGTAATCTGTGTTGGCTACCTACTGACCATGGTGGAACTTCAAATGATATGTTGAACAGTGAAGCTCAAGCGTAGTGTTTAGCATGCCTGCATGCGAGATATTCTCCGCAGCTAGCTGTAGTAACAGTAGGGGGAGTAGAAGTTAGCCAGGTCGTTTACATTAGAGTGACTAAATATAATCTGCCTCTCACCTGGTCCATCCTGACCCCACAAAGTGACTACAGAGACTCTGCAGTGACAGCAGCATTCAGCTCTCTGCTGTGCCACTGGTTTTATAAACTCTGTAGTTCCAGAGGCTTGGCATTTCTCATCCATACCTTCGCAAAAAGCTAACTTGAAAACATGATGATTTTTCTGACTGTGACAAACACTGTTAGAATTGGATCATTTACACACAATTTTCCAGTGAGAACAGGCACTTGTTTTGCAGTGATGGCAGTTATAGAGACAACTGCCTAAAACAGAGTAACACCTTGTACCCGAGTCATGCAAAATCCAGCGCAGATGGTGGTGTTGATGGCCAGGCAGTAGGCACATTCCCTTTTCTCCACATGGATTATATACTCAGAAGGAGCACAAAGTGATGCTGTTCGACCAAAAGTCAGGCCAAAGAGGAGAGACATCACAAAGAAGGGACTCATGCTAGATGGGAGGAAAAACAAACAAAGTAAACCCTAATTAAAATTAGATATACCTTCCAGCTCTTTTCTCAGAATCTGACAAGAACACTTATGATAGTCACAGACTAGAAGTAATCTTAATTTTTTTAGCTACAGCCTGACAAATTCTTTCCAGTATCTCAGACATTTAATTGAAATACTACTAACCACTAAACAGAAAAGAAGGGTAAACAGGCCATTAACAACATATAACAAATTCACTTTTTCCCCCACTAAAGCATATTTCATGGAACTTTTCACTAATAAGTGATAAAATGCTGACACAGAAAAATAACAGAAGCTAAAGGATTTGAAAATGTGATGTGTGAGAGAACATGAGCTCTAGAATTAAGCAGAGATGCTAAAACAATCTTACTGGTTTAAAAATTATTTTTAAAAGAAAGCATCTTGTAAAATGTTCAAGAGAGAAAAAGAAACAGCTGTGCATATCAGGCATACCACTGTATTTGTTTTACTTTCCAGTTGGCTTAGAGGCATGATGAAATGGGAACACTGCCAAGAATTAAATAATAGGTTCAAGCAAATTACAATAAAGAACATCAGGAAAGAGTTCAAATCAATGAATCCCCACTTTATCTGTCTGTTGTGCTGACCTCATTTCTCAGACCTGCTAGGGGATACTGAGAACAAAGCTTTGATTAGCTCTGAGACAATTCCAGGGTCTACTCTATAGCTTCTAAACTACAAACTTAAAATGACAGTGTCTATAAACATATGGACATCACCCTCTAGTCTCTTCCAGCTGTCAGTTTCCCATAGCAAAAGCCATTCATGACACAGTCTGGTTTACCCTGTAGCTGCAACAATGCAAGTCTGGAGAGACCAACCTCGTCAGCTGAATTCTTCCCTATTACAGGAACCTGATTCTGCCTTGAGCTGGGAGAGACAGTGACCCAGCACAAGCTCTGTGTGTGCTTTATACTCTCCAGGCTAATTCCAGGCTGATCTTACTGTTTATATAATTGCATCTGAATTGCTGCTTTCTTATCGCAAAGTCATCTATTGAAAATTCATACTGAACCACAAAGCAAATGTGATAGGAACAAATGTGTCCATAATATCCTAACCTGGAAACTGGAGCTGAAAATCTAATTATTTTAACAGTCATTCCCTTCTCAGGCTTTTAAACTAACCACTGCTTCTAAAAAGTTATTACTGATTAATTTAATCACTACATAGGACAGCAACATCATGACAGGAAGGCTAGCATGGAAGTGGAGTCATCCTGAATCACATGTGGCTAATTCTACACCTATGTTTTTCAGAATTTTTATGATGTCTGGTTCACTCAGTTTGCTTGTCACCTGGCAGGCACAACTCAGACACAGTCCTATACATGTAAAGTAACAAATCTCAAGTCAAAACCTTCTCACTATGCTTATTCACTGCAGCTCTGTTAACACCTACCCTTTCAGCAAATCACTTAACTGCCATTTGGACTTTGATCTGATGTATGTCTTATGCAGGTCAAATACATTCTTACTTTACGTAGCCATAAGAAATATGATGAACTTGAGTTTGAGCTGGTAAACATTGTCACTTTGGGCTGTTGGAGTAGTGATCCAGTCAGTCCCGACAGGTGTTTAGCTAATTCCTGAATAATATTGTCTCCTTTTCCTGTGGTTTTGGACTGCTGCACACAGCTTTGTGTCCTGGACTAATTCTCCAAGGTTTTTTTTTTTTTTTTTGATAAAATGACAGAGTTCTTGTTCTATTAAGACTAGCCAAATGATTTCTGTTTTCATGGGCTCTTTAATTAGGGGTTAATTTCTACCATATAACTTCTCAGGAATTGAATACAACTCTTTCTGGCTTAAGGATGTGAGCAGAGTATTAATTGTGCTCTCAGTAACATCTGTCCATCTACACTTAGGGACAGAAGTGTAACACTTATTTTGCTACTGCTCCAGTATATTATTTAACTCTATATTTGTCTGACGTATTTTAAATGCAATTAAACATACAGGCTATACAAGTATACACATGCATACACCTATATGTACATGATATGTATATATACACCCACATCCTATATACACATATACACTACATACATATGTATGAGTTTTGTTGTTTATAACTTTAATTACAGAAAAGAATGCTTGTTCTTGGAAAAATCTTAACCTTAAATCTTAATCTCCACTCTCAAAGGAGACAACGATCTAGAAAGGAAAAGGAAACAATTCATAAAACTAAATCCCAAAGAGGACAAAATTTCCCAAAATAAGAATAAAAAATAGCATTCCTAAAGCAAGAATATCGCATGTGACCCTTGCATGCATAGCTGAAGTAGGTAATGCTGATTCTTTTCTCTAAAGATTTCACAGTGATTTACAAGCACAGCTTTAGGCAATTGGAGGTGACTGGTTCTGACAGGAAGAACACCACATCCACATTTAAATTGTCCTCAACATATGCTATAAGAGCATAGGCAGAGGACAGATCAGAATATGAAGACATATATCCTTTGCTGCTTTAAAGTGCTAATTTCTCTGATTTGAGCAAAATGGGTGTATCTAGGTGGGGGAAAATTCAGATTAGGGTAAAAAACGATGAAGAATTTGCTTTAAGAGGATATAGGGAAATGTCTGCAAACATCAATAGCAAAGAAAAAAATGTAACAATGCTTGGAAGTCTATCATAGTGAAGATGAAAAAGAGAATGCAACAATAGAACTATAGCAACAAAAAAAGAGGAAAATAACACTCACTGTTAGAAGTGAGAAAATGTAGAACACTCATAAGGGAAGCTGGAGACTAGGAAATAAACTTCTGTCAGTACAGAGGCCAACTGTAATGTCAAGGCGCATTACTAGATGAAGACAAGCTGTTGATGCAAAGTGCAAAGTCTTCAGTAGGTACATGTGCATTTGAAAATGTAGTGGCTGAACAATCAACATACATATTTGCAACAAAAATTATTAAATAAATTGTATAAGGAGTAAATATTTTCAAATCAACATCATTAGCTAGCTAATGCTAATTTCAAGAAGTCTTGGAGTACTAAGGAAATTTCAAAACATTAAGAAAAGCACTAATATTATGCCAATATTTAAGGAGAGTATGTTGACCCAGGTAGCTCTCAACAAGCTAGCCTGACAGCTATCCTTGATAAATCAGGTGAAGTAACAGAAAGTTGATACAGGATTTGAGCAATAAAGAATTAAGGGATGAGAACATAATTAATGCCCGTCAAGATGGTCATAAAATAGGTCATGCCACACAAACATGATTTCATTCTTTGAGGTCATTACAAATTTGGTTGTTAAGGCAACTACATAGATGCAATGTCCTTAGTTCCATCTGTCCAGAGCCCTACTGTCATGAAGATTGAGAGCTATTAGGCAGAGTCAAATGTGGTATATGCTGAATGTTTGGAATTATTAGTCACTGGAGCAGGTAGTATAATTTCAGCAGTGCATTTATGCACTGCAACTTTTTTACCCAGCGTCTGAATGCACTGCAGTGCATTACAGAAAAATCTGACCAGGTATTAAGAATGAAAATTAATGTATCTGGAAGCACAATAAATTAGTCTGAGTGAAACTTGAGACTTGTGACTACTGCTGCTCATACTTAGGTTAGCTCCACAATGATATGGACACAGAACTTCTTGGCTACTACCTTTTCTTTGCTGGCATCATGTTAGCCTGCCCATCTGTCAGAGATGCACTAAACATCACCAGAGTAATATACACATTCATATCTCTTCAGTATTTTACACAAACTATGAAGCTGGTAGAAAAACTTTTCCTTGATTGGCCTTCTGGATGTGACCATAGAGTTCATCCACTACTGACCTCTCTGAACACTTGATGGGAGTCAGATCCCACTACCTGCTGGGGACAGCAAGACAAAAGACTGTGGCAGGACAACGAAGTCCACTGTGGCAATCTGTGAGTGCCCAAGTCTTCTTTCATACAGTTTCCTAAAATCCATAGTTAAAAGTCTGATGCTTATGGATCCATTTCTTTGGCTGCCCCCCTGCTGACCTGCAAACTATTCAGTGGTAGAAATTTTTAATGTGCTTTTACAGCCATCAGCTTTGTAGCCCTGTTCTGGAACAGCCAGTTACACTTTTAATTATTTATATTTAACCTTTCTGTTAACTAAACCAATCCATTCACTGACATCAGTTATTTTACACTTTCATTAAGTGAAAGATAGTATGCTGATGTTCTACAAGAAGTGTTTTAAGTGACCTCTCAATTTAGTAATCATGAAATTATTGGGTTCATTACCCAGGAATCTCTGTAATGGGCTAGAGAAATTCAGTGCATACCAGAAACTTATACGTAAAACTAATATAATAGGATTCTCTGTCACTGACCAATGCCTAAGATAAAAGGAACAATGAGGAAAAGTTATCACACATTATTCCTACTCACTCTTCCCCTGTTAGTAGTAAAACTCAGTGAAAACTTTGTGATCTTGTGAGAAGGTTAAATTATAGAGCAGAGTAACTCTTGTTTCCACTGCATACATAGCTGTAGATATTAAAATAAAAACATGTCCATGCTTGCAAACAACAGAGAATTAGAAGCTATGCTGATGAAAAATAGACAAAGCCAACCAGATTTCTAAAAGATTAGTATTCTGTTAGAGGAATTATTTCCAACCCCATACTGTTGCAGACCTCCACTGATAAAAGGAAACAAGATCCTAGTATGCTGCCATAGAAACAAGTGGTTTTGCCAGGTTTTGCATTTAAACAGACTGTGGCTGCTGAATTTTTCAAAGCTAATCTGTCTATTGCAAGTCTCTCTCTGTAATAGCTTGAAACATAGCTCTCATCTGTTAAATTTATAGATTCACAGGTGACCACTCTTCTCTTTCTTTCCTAGGATTAGCTGCAGCATTTCCTATCAACCACAGATTAAAATAGCAATTCTCTTTATTGCATATCATATGCCCACGATCTCCATTTATGGTCTGAAAATACTTCATAATCCTATTTGCTGTTCA